TTTCAAACTATTCCTATCACATTATTTTTTGCTGGGCCTACTTAGCTAGCATCGTCACCATCATCGTCTCTCTTCCTCTTCCCTGTTTTCATCATCTTTTTCGTCCTTCTCATCTTTTCTCATTATCATCATCAGCATCATCATTATCTCCCCTCATTATCTTGATTACCCTTTTAATAATCATCATCATCTTCTTCTTTTTTCTTCTTCCACTTTCTCCTTCTCATCTTTTCTCTTTCTCATTATCATCTCTCTTCTTCCTCCTCTTCATCTCTCCTCTTCCTCCTCCTCTTCATCATCATTTCTCCTCATTATAATTTCCAGCAGGCATTAGCATGTGCACGTGTCTTCAGTGTTAATGTTGGCTTCGCTGACTTTAATGCCGTCATAATCAGGTCACATTAATAATAATAATAATAATGGCGGCACGGAAACCAACAAAATGGTTCTGCACTCGTGACCGCCAACTTATTTCTATTCCATTGAACTCGTCAAATTTTCCATCTAACTTGAATTATTACTCTACAAATCCGCACAATGGTTTTTAATTATTCTTGAAAATTCTTTTAAAAACTTAACTCACTCCTAAAACATTTTTAAATGAATGCAGTTAAAAATTTTACAATACCAGTCCTAAATTCTCTCTCTTTTCTCTCTCTTTCTCTTTCTCTCTCTGTAGGTCTCTTTCTCTCTTTTTTTGTACAATAATACATTTACGTACATTAATATTTTTTTTTGGTCGGCTCCTAACAGCACAGCGGCTAATACAAACAGCATCCTAATGACGAAATTACTGCGACTAACGTCCTAACCAGCCGGCAACAGAGTGATTGTGGCAATTATTCGAACAATGGCTGACCTAATGCGGTCTTTGTGGTTGTTGGCGTTGATGTTGTTGGTGTTACTCTTGTTGATGATGTTATTGATGTCGTTGTTACTGTTAATGGTCGTTGTTATTTATAATTATAGGTTGGGGTTAAATAAAATAATTAATTGCTCTCGTTGCTCAAAATATTTTAATTTATTTATTTTTAATTATAATTATTTTTTCGTTTAACAATTGGAAACGAAGTTTTATTACCATTTCTTAAAATTTCTTATTGATAGCTTCCTATGTCTTTTCGGTTTCGCAGTGCATTTTACAAATTAATTCATAATTTTCGTATCGATTAAGTCGCTTTTATTTTTTTTTTAGAAAAAAAGTCTTTTCATGTGACCAGCAAAACAATTTAAAGACGAAAAATTTCTAAAAGTGGATTGTTCAAACATTTTTTTATACAATTCTTTATCAATTTTATTGTATTGTTGAAAAACTTAACTGCTAAACAATTTTATATTTTAATAATCATTATCAGTGTTGTTATCATCAACATATCCTTATATTCATTAATCATCATCATCATCATCATCATCATCATCACCATCAGCATCATCATCATCATCAACAACAACAACAACAGCCTTTTATCATCATCATTATGACCAAAAACAAATCATTATCAACACTACAATAATCTTCCTAAGAAACGTCATCATCATCATCATTATCATCAACGTTATCGTCGTCCTTATCACCATTGTCAACATCACCAACGTCACCATCAACGTCATCATCATCGTCGTCGTCACCATCGTGTAATAGTATGTGTTGTGACTCACTGTCTATATCGTAATGGCCATTAGCTCGGAATCAACGCATCCAGTACGATGTTATCAGCATAATAATCAACATTTTAATCACATCGCTATCATCTGCAGAGTCGTTTCAATTTTTTTATCATTTTATCATTGCTGTTATTATTATTACTCATATGAATATTATTGTCGTCATCATTGTTGTCGTCATCAGCATTCTTCTCATCGACTTGCTCCTAATCATTTTCATCATCGTCGTCCTCATCATCTCTTCATCATCAACATCATCATCATCATCCCCCTCATCATCATCTTCATCCTCCTCTTCCTCCTTATCATCCTCATCATCTTCATCTTTATCTTCCTCATCATCCTCATCATCATATTCATCATCATCATCATCATCATCATCATCATAATCATCATCTTCTTCATCATCATCTTCCTCATGATCATCATCTTCATCGTTATCTTCCTCATCATCCTCCTCCTCGTCATCATCATCTTCATCATCTTCGACATCATTTAAATCAGGTTGGCAATAAACAGCGGACGAATTGGAGCAAGCGAGCAGGCAGGCATGCAAACCACCACCAGAAAGACAGACGTAATGAACATTAATAATATTTCCATCTATGTCCCGTAACGTAATGTAACGCTAAGTAATGGAACGTAACTTTACGTACTGTAACTTTACTTAATGTAATTTAGCTCTACTTAATGTAATGTAGCTTTACTTAGTGTAATGTAACTTACCTAAATGTAATGTAACTTTACTTAATGTAATGTAACTTTACTTAATGTAATTCAGCTCTACTTAGTGTAATGTAGCTTTACTTAGTGTAATGTAACTTAGCTAAATGTAATGTAACTTTACTTAATGTAATGTAACTTTAGTTAGTGCCGATTTAGCGTCATTTGATGATACGAAGCGTTACTTAAAGTGATGTAACGTTATTTAATGTAATCTAACTTTAGTTGATGTCATCTAATGTTACTCTATGTTGGCATAGTTGTTTAGCGTTACTAAATTTGATTTAGTGTTATCTGATGCAACGTAGCGTAATTTTAATGTAATGTTATTTTACTTAATGTAATCCAATATTAGTATTTAGATGGTGTGATATAACGTTACTTAATGTGATTTAACATACTTTAATGTGATGTAATGTGATCTAACAAACTCAACACAGTACAAGCTTGGTGATGTAATGAACTGTAATGTAATGCAATGAAATCGTAATGCTGTGTAATGTCATGTAATGGAGTTTAATGTTATATAATGTAGTTTAATGTCATGCAATTAATGTAACGGGACATAATGTAACGCAGCTAATGCAACATAATGGGATAAGAATAACGCAAGCAGGCACTCAACCAGCAACTTATGACGTAGAACAAACTTCCGTAATTATCACGTGACTTGTTGGCTAATTACCATTGGCTGTCCGATTTGGAACGGATTCACTAATACATATTCAACGACTAATTAATAAATAATAAATTACTCCTACTGATTTGATTAATGTTTGCTAATATTAAAAACGAGATTTATCAATAAAATTTTATTAGTTTTCGATTTTTTTGATATTTTATATTCATTTTTTATATTATTGGCACGTACATTTATTCGAGTTTGAGTTTAATCATCGCAATCGTCCTTCATCACCAGCCAAAAATCTCAATCAAACAAGGTTTTCAACTCTTAACAGACACTAACACTCAAACTTCATCATTGCCAACAAAATCTTTAGATGTTCTACCTTTATAAAATTCATTTGATAATAGGATGACGTCATATGATGGTGAAGATGACGATGATGATGACCAGGTTAATTCAGATGATGGTGAAGATGACGATGATGAAGTTAGTTGATGACGATGACGTAATTTGATCATGGAACGATCGGGTTTTTGTAAATATCACATGGCCTCATCGTCATCTAACTCAATCATCGTCATCATACGGCGTCATCATCATCCCAATCACACGCTGTTCGATGTGTCTCTTCATTCATAATGACGTGGGTTTACTGACGCTCAAACTGCTCAGTTATTTATTTTTACCTATCAATATTTTTATTTTTTTTTATTATTTCATACGATATTTTTCATTTATTTATTTTATTATAAGGTAATATTATTGTTTTGTTATTTTATTATAGAATATTTATTTCCGTTTATTATTATTATTATCAACTATCCACTTTTAACCGTTTCTTCTTATTATTACTGTTACTGTGTTATTTTTGTTGCTATTAGCAAACTGCTATACAAACGACTATTGTTCAAGAATTCGATGTTTATACATGTGTGTGTGTGTGTGTGTGTATGTGTGTGTGTGTGTGTGTGTGTGGTGTGTTTGTGTATATGTCTAGTGTGTTTGTTGTTTGTTTTGTGTGTGTGTTTATTTGAAATGTCTAAGTGAGTGAGTATGTATGTGTGTGTGTGTTTGTCTGATGTTTGTGGGAGTGTCTTTGTTTGTTTGTTTGTGTTTGTGTGTGTGTGTGTGTGTAGGTGTGAATATGTACGTTTGAGTGTGTTTGTGTATGTGTGTTTGTGTTTGTGTATGTGTGTTTACGCTACCAATTACGACAGAAAATTTATGGAAGCGCAAAAGAAAAAAATTAGTTGTCTTATTAAGGAGAACGATACAATCACCACATGCCGCTTCAATCACATTCTGCTATGATGAATCTTGTTGTATCTATTTATCTTTTTGTTTTTTACAGTTTTTTAATTATTGTTCTGTCAATCGATCGATTGGTTGGTTGGTTGGTTGGTTAGTTGGTTGGCTGGCTGGTTGGATGGTTTGTTGGTTGGTTAGTAGGCTTGTTGTCTGATGATTGAATGTTTAGAAGGAAATTTTTTCTTGAAGTATTTTTGTTCGTTCAAATGATTGTGTTATTTGATGGCACATTTAATAATTTCGATAGTACCTATTTTAAAAGTTTCAAAAACTTTATATTTGTTATTTTAAGTAGTTTCAAAATTTATGTATCCAATAATTTCAAAATTGTTAACAACTTTTGAGTTCAGTAAAAAATTACTGAAGTAACATCACGCAAATTACAGGAAACAACATTATCATCAGTAGCAACATTTACAACAAACTTTTGTAAGAACACCAATCACGTCAACAGAAACATCAACAAAACAAACACAAGATAACTAAAAATTAACAACATAACAACGACCAACTTTATTTCATAAAAATTAATACGGCATATAAACAACTACAGCAACTGCAACCACAAGAGCAGCCACTAGATTAGCGGCAACTGCATCAGCCAAAGAAGCAGTAACAGCAGCAACAACAACAAATCACCAGACTAACAACAAAAACAACAACAAAACTAACTGACTTTTAACATAGAGGTTGGCCCCGTACGAGTAGGCCACACCGACGCTGTTCTCGGCGACACATTCGTACTTACCTTCATCGGACGTCTCAACTGTTTTTATGATCAGTCGACCTGATTGTTGTTGTTGTTGTTTGTCGCAAATTATTTATTTATTTAAAATTGTTGCTATTTACGTTTTAATATTAAATAATAGATATAGGTGTTTCAGATAAATGCTGGAAAAAACAATTTCTTTTCTAAGTTTTAAAGTTTTTTCAAGTATTAATTATTTAATCAATTGAAAAAGATGAAAGTTGTCAAATGCGAAAAATAGCTGGCGTCTTACAGATTTGAGAGAGATAATGAGTGTGCTGGGAGAGGGTGGGTTGAGATAATTTGTGGAGATGGTGATGAGCTGGGAGGGGAGCTCATTATGAAAATCTCCCGCCGAATTACATCAAAGGTATCTTATTTTTTTACAACATTCTTTTACATGCGCTTGTTTTTCAATTTTTTAGTGTTTTTATTCAATTTTTTTTTGATAATTTAATATTTAGATGAAAGTTTGAAAAAGTATATATATATATATATATATATATATATATATATATATATATATATATATATATATATATGAGTATCAATGGTAATTTAAATAAACACTTGTCTTCAATTCTTCTTTTTTAAGAAGAATAATAATCATTATTCAAATTCAACTGTATTGATGTTAACTTGCTAGGTATGTCTGGATCACAATATCTTTACAAACTTTTATTAAATTCCGAGGTTATATCTTTATCATGTAACATATGCAATTTAAAGAGCAAGAAAAATTTTGAAACAAATTTTTATGATATAACAAAAATAAATACAAAAATAGTGATTCAATGGGTTTCTTTTCAAAGTGTTTAGTTAAGACATTACTTCTTAGGTAATGAGTGTTAATTATTAACAAAGTTAAAATATTTTTATGTTGTTGTGAAAAATAAACTTAATTTAACGAAATTTCTGCATTTACAAAACTTTAAAACAAAACAAAAACATAAATGTTTCTAAATGTTTCAATCGTCATAAGTGGTGTGGCTTTTTCTGAGTTATGCTCTGACATGTATCATCTTGACGTGTGGAGTTTGTATAATTTAAAAAAAAATATCTTAATTCCTGAAGATAAAGTCTGAAATTATGTTTAATGAATTGAAAAAATAAGATTTATTAGCAGAGAACAGCAAGTGGAATTAGATGATGAGATGCATCTTGAGCAATACAGATGGTTAGTTCATGTCAGATCATATCGTTCTCTCTAAATGTCCGTGTAAGTTTCTTTCTCTCTTTGTACGTGTCTTAATGTGTGTGCATTTGTGTGTTTGTTTGTGTGTAAATACATTTGAGATATAAATGTCTTTGTGCGTCTGTCTGTATGCCTGTAAGTGTTCGTTTGATTGTCTGTGAATTCGTTCGTTTTTGTGTCTGTCTGTTTGTCTGTGCTATGCATAGTGCTATGCAAAACAATAAATTGTTTTTGCTTCCTTTTTAACAATTCTTTTTCTAAACATAATAATCTTAAATAACTTGTATAAAATAAATATTCAAAATTTTAAAAAATGGTTAATTTTTACAATTAGTTTGAAAAACTTGAAAACTGGAAATTTCTAAGGAACTCGTTAAAATTTTATTTTGAGTTTCTCCGATAATAATGAGCTCAGATCTTTACGATCTTTATATCTTACGTTCTTGAAGCAATTATCTTACTAGGATGTATCTTACTCGAACATAATTTTTATTTCAACATTGGAAAAAATGTCAGCATCATTAGTACAAACAAATAGAAGTGCAGGTCATCAACATTTTAGTACTTCGTGTCGTAAAATTATTAGAATTAAGGACAAAATTAATAATGACAAATCAACATAGCAGATATTAATTAAATAGAAACCGGGAAGAAATGATTCCGTACCTCCAGCTTCTAACTTCATCCTTGTGGGATCGATGTCGATGGGCACGTAATCCTTGTACCAGGAGATGATGGGAGGTGGGTTTCCTGTGGCTGAACACTTCATGTCCGTTGGCCGATCTTTTTCTGTTGATTTCATTTCAGGGTTCTCGGTGATCTCTGGATAGCCTTGTGGTTCTGCATTTTGTAAATCGTGTTAAGGGAAAATCTCACTTAGGAGTGAGAGACTGAATTGCTGGAAGCTGCAATTATACAATTGTACGTCAAAGTTTGTTTTTGTCTAAAAAAGAAAGTCGAAACTTTTTCTGTTTGTGAAACGAATTTACTTTAATAATAATAATAATAATAATAAGCCGCACAGATCCACTGTGCACACTGTTTCACATTAAACCTTATTTGGGACTTGATAAAAGTGAATAATTCAGGGCGATGATGTTGATGTTGACGGTGATGATGTGATGATGTGATTGGCTTTGTTAATAATAATCCTGACAATAAGAATGCCTGAAGCGATAATAATGGCATTGGCATCGTAAGATTCGTAACACACATTAACTTTATTTTAAACCTTCCAAAGTGCAACAAGTGCACGGCACATATGGAATGTTCTTCTTCTTTGCACGTCAACACACAAACACTCATACTCAGTGATAAAGAGACACACACACCACAAACACACACACACATGCACATACACGCATATATACACAAACACAATAATACAAACTCACACATTCATTCGTTCCTATTTTACATCAGTGCACATAATACTAACAAACACAAAAGAGGAGCTATAACCTCACACAATTCTGTGCACATAAGCACGTATTTACTCAAATGCATGCGTAGACCATTAAACACTCGCACAACACGTACATACGCGAAATCATGCTTAAACGTATGAATCAATACATGAGGATTTATATTGTTGTGTCTAGGACCAATTTATCTTATTTCTACAACTGGGTGGGTGCTGTTTCAGCATGCAAAACAACAAATGCTTCAAAAATTTTGTTCTCTTCGTTTTATTAGCTCTCTCTCTCTCTCTCTCTCTCTCTCTCTCTCTCTCTCTCTTCTTTCTCTCCTTCTTTCTTTCTCAACGTTTGTCATTTTTCTTACATTTATTGATTAACTCCCTATCAAAATTTGCTTACTTGAAATGAATACCTTTGAGTGTGTTTTGTAATTGTTCACTTTATCGTTGCTCTCTTTTGAAAATTTTTATCTCTTTATTTATTAATTCATCTTTAAATCATTAACGACGTACATAAACGGAGGCTAAAACCTGTTCAATTTGAATGATTACAGCCCAAATCGTCCCATAAACAAGCAAGAAATTATACAAACGAACAAACAAACAAATTAGCAACTAAACGAACATACAAGCGAGCAAACACATAAACTAACAACGAACGAACGAACAAACAAACAAATAAGCAAAGTTTACAAAACCACTCAATGCGGTGAATGAAGTTTTCAAAGAAGAAGAAAAGACGATGTAGTACTATTTATTTTAAAAGAATAAGAAGTATTTATTTTAATTGACGCAGATTAATGAGCGCATGGTGTCAAGACACGAGGTAAATGTTAATTGATCTCATCTTTTCTTTCTTCTCTCTCTCTCTCTCTTTCTCTCTCTCTCTTTCTCTCTCTTTCTCTCTCTTTCTCTCTCTCTCTCTCTCTCTCTCTCTCTCTCTCTATCACGATCTTTTCTTTCTTCTCTCTTTTTTCTCTTTCTCTCTTTCGTTCTTTTCTTTTTGTATGTTTTTTAAATATGAGTGTGTATGTATTTATGTATGTATGTTTGAGTGTGTCTATGTGTCAACGTGTTAGAGTGTTTAGTGTGTGTTTATTTGTCTTGTGTACCATCATTTTGATTAGTTTGATTCACATGTTTGTGTAATGTTGACTTATAATCTATATTGCATATCGACTATCTTCTTTTTTGTTTCTATTGTATTTTTGAATAATTTTTTCTGGATTCACCTGACTTGAACGTCTGCTACAATGACCATGCTAATAATTTGACCTAAACATTGTTTCTGCTAGGCAAACAGTTGTTAAAAATTTTATACGTATTTAAAAGGTAACCAAATTGATTTAACTACTTGAAAACTTCGTGCAGATGAGCAGATAACGAACATTATTAATTGTTCTAGTCCTATTTGTTCTATAGTTGTGTGGACGGTGCTCAATATTCAAATATATGATACAGTTTTTTAAAGGTTTACATTGCAGTTTTCAACCGTCCTTTGTTACTGCGGTCATTATCGTCTAAATCATCATAATCTGGATACACATATTTTTATAATAAAAAGACAGTTGATATAATTGTTCATGTCTTGTTTTCATATTAGATACAAAAAAGTCAGAACAGTAAACAACATCATAGACAGAAACACAATCAAATAAACGAAGCCAAGGAATGGCGTGAAATAAGTAATTCATCTTTCAATTGCAAAAATGTGAGATAACAAACATAAAATAAAAACAAACACAAAAGAAGAGCGCAAACAGAAAAAAAAACATGTGCGAACACAATCAAACGCACGCACGCACAAACAAACACACACATTAACATACAAACAGACATATCTACTTTCATCTTCCTTATAGACGGAAAGCCTCGCGTAAGTTCTCGCGGCAGGTCCGTTGCCATTCTCGGCCAGACATTCAATGAAGGAATCATCAACCTTCCATTTCACATTCTCAATTCGGAGCACAGATCCGTGTGGGATGGGATAGATCTTCTGCCTCATCATTGACTTTATTTTCTTGCCTGCTTTTTTCCACGTGATGTTCGGGATTGGATTGCCGATTGCCTTGCATACGAAGCTGACCGTGGCTCCGTGGATGACCCTCTGATCGTGTGGCGGGAGGTTGATGACGGGCTCCTCTGTTGGTTTGATTGTTGCGTGGTCAGTGGTGGTTAGTGGTAGTCAGGAGTGGTCAGTGGTGGTCGGTGGTGGTCGATGTTGGTCAGTGGTGGTCGGTCAGTGTTTGATGGACAACGAATACGTGTATACGTGTGAATACGAATACGAATACAAAAGCGTGAAAATATGAATTCGATGTTTATTGAATGTTTCATCTACGGACATTAAAAGTTATTGATGTCTAATTTGGTAATTTTGTGAAAACCATATAAGGAAACAATGCAAGTGAAACAAAAGGAAAAATAGGAAATGTAGATGCATTTTAAATTATTTCCAAGCCAAAGTTTGAAAGAGAATAAAAGTGCAAGAGTCTTTGGCCCTGGATGCTATTGATGTCTGCACGGGAAATTAAGCCCTCAAACAATTCAACAGATAAACGCCATCAAATATTCATGAATTAATTATTGAATAACATCAATAATAAACACGTCTACAAAACTACATCAACACACATACATACACACGCACGCAGACACACACACGCACACACACACACATACCAATAATAAAAATGTTCACACGCATGTGTGTGATTCATATTTTCATATAAATTTCTACATATAAACTGCATGCGTTCATTCAGCAGACACCTCCAGACAAAAATGTGCGCAGACAAAATGTGATGGCTTGATTGATGAAATGCTCTGCCTGTGTAAATAGCCATCAACATAATTGAATTTGTCACTCACACTAGCGCAAAAAATGCATGTGCGCAAACTTACATTTTCACACACATACACACACACACACACACGCACACACACACGCACACACACACGCACGCACATGCGGTCCAATAAAAAATGAACTGAGATGACGAATGAATGAAAAAATTTGTCCCCGGCAAACAATCTTTCTTGAAGGAAGATAGTTGAGATAAATATTTTCCTGCATTAATACAATCCATCATGCCAATCATCATCATCATCAACATCAACATCATCGTCATCAACATCATCGTCAACATAATCATCGTCATCATCATCAACAACAACTTTTCGATCATCACCATTATCATTACTGCCATCTATCATTATTATTATTATTATATTTTTAGAATTATTATTATTATTATTGCTAACATAATTGTTTCTATTGAAGTTCATTGTTGTGTTTGCTCATTCGAAATAATGCAAATTGATGTGCGCACTGCAAACAATGACTTTTAATACGGGGAAATGTGAATGCACGCACACGTCACGCATACGTTGTGCGTTGTAAGTGTAGGCTGCGTGTGCGTGAGTGTACACCGTAAACATGTTTTGTATGTATAGTGTACACTTTGTGTACGCAGGCTTTACATGCGGAAACAAAGTTGAACTGACCTGTTTTTCTAATTTGTTTAAATGTATATAATTCTTCCAGTTTGGTACGTTATAGATGAAAATGCTTGTTTTTTTCAATAAAATGTTTTTAAACACAAGAATGTGTGTGTTTGTGCGTGTGTGTGTGTGTTAATATAATCATTTGTATATGTGCAATTGTGTGTGCGTGCGTGAAGAAACCATTTAATACAGTTGTATGTATTCCTGAACGAAATGTAACGAATGTATTTTCCTTAATCATCTGCGCATATCAGGCAGTATTTATTGGAAGGGAGCCATTGAGACTACCAGCGAAGTTTCGAACATTACTCATCCTATTCCCCTGGCCACCATACATTTCCAATGGCATCTGCCACTCCCCTATACTGGCGAAGCACTTCGCAATCATCTTCTTCATCTGTCTCCTTTTTAAATCCTATCACATTATTCATGACAATTACTTTCACATCTCAGAAGTAAACTGGTAAACCAATACATCTACCCAAATTATTTATTGTGAGTAAATCATTTATCGATTATTATTTTTTCTACAAGATTAAGTGTGTGTTGTGTGTGTAATTGTGTATATATGAGTGAGTGTGAGTGTGTATGCGTTAGTGTGTAGTATGTGTGTATATATGAGTGATTGTGTGTGTGGTGTGTGTGTGTGTGGTGTGCGTGTGTGCGTGTGTGTGTGTGCAAACGTTTAGGTTTTAGCTTTATATATTTTTTCCGAGATTTTTAATGTGTAATAAAAATATTATGCAAAAGTTTAAAAATAAAAATAAATGTTAAGTTAATGGTATAATAATATTTTAAATGGTGTTAAAGATACATTAAATGTGTACATATAATTCATGTATTATTTTTAATTCGAATAACAAAGTTAACAATTTGTGAAAAATATTGACTAATTGGTTAATTTCATAAAAAATACTACAAAAAAATATTAAGAAAAATCACGAAAAAAACATTGAAGCCAAAAAATCTAGTTTTAAAATGAATAATCACAAAAACCTTTTAATGTACAATACAAAAAGAACGATAAACATTTCAAACCAAAGTTGTATTGAAAAGTAACCATTGAATGTATAATTAGCACAACCGAGGTTTCAAATAAGTTGGATGAGATTTAAAACACCAACAGTACTCACATATACACAGATATTTAATTCCTCACACATCCTCATTATCTTCCGCAAGATCATCATCAACATCTAGTTCAACAACATTTTCATCATCATCACCGTCACCACTAGCAACATCATCATCATCATCAACATCATCATCAACACAATCGTCAACACCAGCATGGACTTACGTTTCAAGTACTGCAGGTAGCGGTAGTTGGTGGTGGTTGTAGCATAGTAGAATTCTATCGATGAGAGGAGGATGGCGTGTTATTTTATTTATATTTTTTGCTCGCTTCTTTATGTCAGTCGTTTAATTCGTTCGATTTCAATGTGTGTGTGTGTGTGTGTGTGTGTGTGTGTGTGTGTGTGTGTGTGTGTGTGTGTGTGGAGAGGGAGTGGCGTGTTTGTGTGGTGTGTTTGTGTGGTGCGTTTGTGTGGCGTGTTTGATAAAGTATTTTTTTTTATTTAAAACCCAGAAAATGTTGTGACAGTGAACAGATGATGTTATTTTTTGTGAAATGATTTAACTAATTGCGTTGTTTACAAATTCCATGCTGTTTTTTGACCATTTGGGAGATATCGTCTCGCTCAATAATAACATTTACATAACTGAAGTGAATAAAAACTGAACGAAAACAAAATAAAAAGAACAGAAAATGTTGAACTGAAGGAAATTTTAGTGCAATTGAGGTTGTTATAAAGATGGCGATTGTGCTTCGGCAAGATGATGATTGTGATAAAAATGATGATTGATATGACGATTGGTGATTGACGATAAGAAAATGAAAAATAATAAGATGAAATAATGATATTGATACATGATACAGTATGCTTGAAATGGCGATTCTAGCAATTTATAATAAATCTTTTTTAAATTCGGCTTGGGCAAACCCCTTGCCAACAAATTAAAACAAATCAACAGTCTCAACTAACGAGCCAGTGATAAAACATTAAACTTTAAATGAGAATTCGATGGTTTGTAGTAAAAAAATTATATTTTGAAATTCGTTATAAAAAAATCTCCCCTCTAGGTGTTAGTAGTGATGTTGCATCAAGGTAGGGATGTGCCAGTCGATAATGCGATATGTTTACAATGCGATTTGTATCTGCTTCTTATCGATTGACTCTTCTGAAGTAACGGGAACGATTTTCTGTTTGCACACACCTAATTATTTGCATGCATGCATGGGAACATGAATTCCTGGATGCATGGATACTTGGTTGAATAGATGCTTGGATGGATTATAAAGAAAGACGCATAGATACGTTTAGTGTGTCATTGAATAAATTAGAAGCATCGAACCATAAAAAACATTTTGAGAATGTCGGCTGATATTCTTTCTGAAAATATAAACTACAACATTATAAATGACATCAATTGTGACAGCAGCAGCAACATTAGGAGAATTTTTTGTAGGCTTTGAAGTTTCCAAAATTTAGACTTTCAAAAAAATTACACCCTCAACACAGTCCTTCTCATCCCTGCTAGACGCCATCCAACATTCAACATCAACAGGAACGACAACAGCAACAACAACGACCATGTTGTCTACTACATTGCCATAAACAAAAAAACAGCACTAGCAATATGAAAGCTTAGTCGCTATGAACATGAACAATATAAAAATTGTCACCATAGTTTACGACAACACATGCGCATAAACGCGCATACACATCCGCATGCAAACACACACGCACGCACGCACACACGCACTTACATATTCATACAATTACACAAACAGAAACATACATACATGATCGTTCAGTCACATGATCATACAATCAGCTGTGAGTTCCTAATGAAACGATGAGTCCTTGGGTGGTCTCTTGGCGTCATTCATCCATCATCATTACCATAACTCGCTACCATTCTAATATTATGCTATCAGAGATGCTATTGTTGGCGATGCTGTTGTTGTAACTAGTAGTTGTATTAAAATTCTAGTACCTTTTTTGAGATTTTTGGTTCATTTTTGTTGTTATTTTTAATACTAATCTGCTAATGTTAAATTTACATAAACAAAATATTTCCGAACTCTGCATGAAACGTTGAAATATGTTTCTGAGGTGGCAAATAAAAATATTTACAACTTGCTTGCTCATTAGGTGCTAACCAACTAATCGTTCTGAGTATTTTGATCATCTAAGTGAAATTTCACAGAAAATCGTCATAGCGTTTGTGTAATTATATTTTTTTTTATAACAATCATTCATTCACAATTTCTCCAGCACAGCTCTTCAGTAACAAATTTAAGACCACCCAAACGTCAGTGTGAATAATCCTCACATATTTCAGCATAACTTTATATAAACAAACACAAGCCAAAACGCTTTAAAGCATGAAAAAATTATTCAAACTAAAAAAAATTTACGTTCGAAATAAAAGGTCAAAAAAGATAAAGGAGGATAAAAATGGAATGGGAATATAAAAAAGAAATGTAAGTCTCCTAATTAGTTCTCTAAATGAACTTGTTTTGCACGGTATTGACGTGCTGTACATTAATCATGTGTTGTTGTTGTTATT